ATAACAAACGAAAACAATTCTTAAAAAGAAGAAAATACCATTCAAATAAGAAAATTACATTCAAATTTTTATTATTGCCAAAGCCAGACGCAGTTATTTTTAACAACATACACTATGTATTTACAACAACAATTTTTGTATTGAAGTTTTTATTATTATTCCCACAAGGGTTGGAAATACAAATTTCGTACAAATTTAAGAATTTATGAAACGCATTTTAAATAATGTTTAATTAAGATCAGGGTTCGTTATGACCAGGTTGTCCTAAGTTTGTATCAGGGGTGGATGGGCCATATGGGAAAACGGAAAAATTCCCAGTGAGCCGGTGGGCCGGTCCCGATCAATGCTCAAAAAAGATTTGATTAGCAAAAATGAAATGGTTTATCTTCTAACTAAAGTGACGTAAGATCCTTAGTGACTCCATAACTAACTAATCAAATTGCATCAGTATAATCGTTAGTTGCTTTTAAACATAAACACCAATTTGTAAAATAACTATTGTGAAATGTCTTTCTCTGGACGGGGACGGACTATAAAAGCCAAGTCTGAGAACTAAAAGCCAAGTCTAAATTGTTGTTTAAAATGTTGCTAAAATGAATTTGCTAAAAATTATTGAGACAGCAGAGAAGAGTTAAATAAGGTTTAAACTAGATTAGATAATAAAATATTAATATGTCTCGAAAATCCAAATATTCTTATTATGGACAAAAAGCAAAAAAAAGACCTTTTTTGCATTTTTGCAAAAAAAAACCCTCATCAAACCAAACCAAACCACCCCTAAAAATATTTGCACTTATTTAAGGTTTACACTGATAGTTTCACCCACTATTCTTTTATTAATAACTAATAAATATGACTGACTGGCAGCAAAAAAAAAGAATGAATAGCATTAGGTAAATTTAAATAGTCTCGATTTAAGTGTATACTAAGAATACGGTAGCGTAGATTGACAACTGGGGGCCTCGGTGCAATATTTTTCGAGCTCTCCTTTGTAAAAATGTAGACGAATTTGACGCTAACCCTGCGGTTGACGGAGAATCAGAAAACATATCTATGCTTGGCTTGACTTGGGGACGGACTAAAAACTAAGTCTGAGAACTAAAAGCCAAGTCTAAATTGTTGTTTAAAATGTTGCTAAAATGAATTTGCTAAAAATTATTGAGACAGCAGAGAAGAGTTAAATAAGGTTTAAACTAGATTAGATAATAAAATATTAATATGTCTCGAAAATCCAAATATTCTTATTATGGACTGTAACATAGCATTACATCAGAACACATATAGCCTGGTAAGATCCACTGCCTAGGTATTGCCTAGGTTTTTTTCGTTCGAGTCATGGCATATCAACTATACAGGGTGGTCCCAATTGTATTCCGGAAACTTCGACAGCATATTCTGCAGATAAAAATAAGTAAAACAGTTCGTATAAATGTATGTCCTAAAATGCTTAGTTTCTGAGATACAGGGTGTAGAAGTTTCATTTTTATTTCGATTTTTTCCAAATAATTTCTGAAGTAACGTCAATAATTGAATGAAAATTGGTATCTGGGTGTATTGTGACACGAGATATTTGATTTTGATGTCAAAATTACTCCTATTTGTAGGGGGCGCCACCTACATGTGTTTTAACTATTTTGAAGAGTAATAACTTTTCGACCGTACCTGTATAAAACCACCGACTAAAAAATATACATTTTCATGACTTTCTATGTGAAAAATGTCTCTTGGTAAAAATCGCTACGAGCAACCGTTTTCAAGATATTTAGAATGGAAATAGTCAATACATGTCATTATTGACAAAAAATAAGCACACGTTGAGTATTATAGTTATTTGACTGAAATAATAAATTTTTATGTTTTTAAATTAATCGTTTAAAGTTTATTCTGCGAAAAAATGATGATTAAACAATTTCTTTTGAACTTTTAACACAAAAAGATTTCAAATTTATGATTTCAGTCTAATTACTATTTAGTCAACATGTTTAATTTATGTCAATGATGATAGGTATTGATAATTTCGATTCCAAATATCTCGAGAACGATTTCTTATAGATTTCTTTCGATTCTCGTAGCGATTTTTACCAAGAGACCTTTTTTATGTAAAAAAAGTCGCAAATGTATAATTTTTAGTATTTTTTTAATAAAGCACGCTTTTAGATGTTTCAAAAAACTTTTAATAAAAGTAACTTTAACTCTACATATATGTTTCGGCTTGTTAGGCCTTTTTCAAGAGTTTTTTAAGAACTAATCGTCTAACTACACTGTAACTATATAAATATTTGCTATGGGGGTGGGTTCAGAGAGTTTACAATAGGGGTAATAAAAAATGTGTTTAGAAATCCTTGTTGGTCGTTAACATTATTTTCGTTTTTTTAACAGATTTTAGTATTTCTAACTGTTCAATGTAATTTAAGCGTCTACCTTTTGTTTCTCTGTGTAGTAACTTAATTGAGTTTTCATTAATTTTGTGATTATTTACTATACAATGAGTTGCAAGACCAGAACTATGCTGGAGATTATTAATAGACTTTACATGTTCTTTAATCCTTATATCTAAATTTCTACCAGTTTGGCCTATGTACACGGTATCACAATCATTGCAATCCACCCTATATACACCCGACTTATTTTTGACATTAGTTTTGTCTTTATTATTTAATAAAATTTGACCTAAATTTCTTTTATTTACGTTAATAGTTTTACATCCTATTTTATTGAGATTATTTGATATTTTGTTAGTTAAATTAGGAATGTAGTTTAAAAGTCGATAATTGTTATTGTCTTTAGAATTAGCGGAATAAAAATTTTTCATTAATATTTTCTTTTGTTTTTTCTTTAGCATATTATCAATAAGGGAACACTTATATCCATTGTTGATGGCGATTTGTTTAATAATATTTAACTCTTTTTTAAAATTCTCTGGGCTCAGTGGAAAGATTACTAATCTATGAATTAAACTATGAAAGGGTGACATTTTGATTTGCCAGGATTGGTGTGATTGACTATGTATTACAGTGTCTGTGGTAGTGGGTTTTCTGTAAACATCAAATTGTAATCTATTAGACTGTTTTATAATTGTAACATCAAGAAAATTAATGGTATTAATACCTTTTTCAATAGTAAATTGTATTCTCGGGTTAATTGAATTTAATAATGTTAAAAAACTATTTAAATTTCTCTCGGTGCCTGACCAAATACAAAAAATGTCATCTACATATCTTGCCCAATAATTTATTTTTGATATTAAACTACTCTTGTTTTTAAATAGCTTCTTTTCAAAATCTGCCATAAATATTTCTGCGAATAACGGTGAAATTGGGGAACCCATCGGTAGATTTTATCGACTTTTAAACTACATTCCTAATTTAACTAACAAAATATCAAATAATCTCAATAAAATAGGATGTAAAACTATTAACGTAAATAAAAGAAATTTAAGTCAAATTTTATTAAATAATAAAGACAAAACTAATGTCAAAAATAAGTCGGGTGTATATAGGGTGGATTGCAATGATTGTGATGCCGTGTACATAGGCCAAACTGGTAGAAATTTAGATATAAGGATTAAAGAACATGTAAAGTCTATTAATAATCTCCAGCATAGTTCTGGTCTTGCAACTCATTGTATAGTAAATAATCACAAAATTAATGAAAACTCAATTAAGTTACTACACAGAGAAACAAAAGGTAGACGCTTAAATTACATTGAACAGTTAGAAATACTAAAATCTGTTAAAAAAACGAAAATAATGTTAACGACCAACAAGGATTTCTAAACACATTTTTTATTACCCCTATTGTAAACTCTCTGAACCCACCCCCATAGCAAATATTTATATAGTTACAGTGTAGTTAGACGATTAGTTCTTAAAAAACTCTTGAAAAAGGCCTAACAAGCCGAAACATATATGTAGAGTTAAAGTTACTCTTATTAAAAGTTTTTTGAAACATCTAAAAGCGTGCTTTATTAAAATACTAATATTTCAACGATGTTTCACAAGGAACCAACCACAGCTTCAGTACAGTATATTTTTTTACTCAGTAGTTTTATACAGGTACCGACGAAAAGTTATTACTCTTCAAAACAGTTAAAACACATGTAGGTGGCGCCACCTACAAATGGGAGTCATATTGACATCAAAATCAAATTTCTCATGTCAAAAAACACCTATCCACCAATTTTCATCCAAATATTGACGTTACTTTAGAGATTATTTGGAAAAAATCGAAATAAAAATGAAACTTCTACACCCTGTATCTCCGAAACTAAGCATTTAGGACATACATTTATACGAACTTTTTTACTTATTTTTATCTGTAGAATATGCTGCCGAAGTTTCCGGAATATAATTCGGACCACCCTGTATAATAACCTAAAAAATGCTGCAGTTTTAATGGCGACCGCGGTTCATTCAGTTAAAAACACGTATACACGAGGAGGCTGCTACTGTAGCAGAAAAGAGAGAATTTCTTTCTACAATGTGTAAGAAAGTATATACCCGAAAAGCTAAAAGTAATGTATTTCACAGAGGATTGGGTCAGCTGAACTGAATGAATCAGGAAGTCTTAAAGTTTCTCAAAATCGTGACTCAAAATCGTAGCCTATTCAAGATCAAATTACCGTTCTCGATAATGGAAATAAAGCAGTGGAACCCTGTAAAACTGAGCCAGTTTGTAGTAAAAATTCAGATGTCCGACCCAATATTGGTCTTTACTAAAATTTTGACAAGACAAATTTAATTTTTTTTAAACCGGAGGCAAAAGAGCTTTTTCGCACCAGCGAAAACACCCTTACTTATGAATAAATAACTTAACCCTTCTTAACCATTAATAAATAAAATAAGTTTCTTCGTTATGGTCATTTTGTTTTTGTGGATTTGCGCCGGTTGCCTGTTTTTCCCGGGCCGGTTTCCACTTCCCCATCCACCCCTGGTTTGAATTAATAATGTGGGGTGTGCGAACGAACAAATATAATTAAATTTATTGACAAATTTACTTACGATATTCTTGCAGGTACATCGAATTCGAGCAACACTGATCTTTCGGCAGGAGATTCTGTCTTACACCTTCCAAGGAAGAGGCCGTTGCGGCCATACTAGCCAATCTATAAGAATGGTTCCAGTACTCAAAATAACTCTGATGGTCACTGTAACTTCTATCGCTAGCGCTAGGGCTGAAACTGGCCTTATCCGATCCTGATAATAAATCTTTCATTTCTTCCTTTTGATCTTCACTGGATTTATGATTGGAATTCGGTTTATTTTTCAAAATATCGTCGATTCGGAAAGACATTGCCGTGTCGTGCTGCTGGCAATTCACTACGTCGAAATCTTGATAACACTGTGTTGTAATTCCAGCGGCTTTACTAATATAAACTTTTCGTAGTAGGTAACTAATCTTTAGTATTACTTTTATCACATTAATTTGTTTGAAAACGACTCTAAATGTCAAATTAATGTGTGGATAGGCTTATAGTATCGGGATTGTTGTTTTTATTACTTAGCGAGTACGTTTTTTGGTGAAAAATATTTTTATTATCTTTTTTTAACGGAACGTTTTAAAGCTCTGCCTAAATTTTCACAGATCGACTTAGTCTTATCTCGAATGGCCGGATTGCTTCCGTTTAAAATCGCCGATAATTCGTACCGAATGTTGACGGCGATTTTAAATCTTAAATATGCGGTTAATATTATACACTTGTGGTTAAAAACGATATAATTAAGTTAAATAAAAATCTTAAATTGTTCTTTTGTTAATAATTTACTTCACTAAAGATATAACTAACTTTTTAAAATTATTAATTTTAACCCTCAATTGGCGGCGTGGTGAATTTTTGTACCGCTTATGGCGTCCTGAGGTTTAAATAAAGTAAAACGCATTTTTTAGGAATTTTTGACAACAGAAATATAATTTGGCTAAGAAACCCATAGAAATTAAAAACATATACCGGGTTGTTCACCACACACGACACGGAGTATTGTAAACGACTAGATTTTTACAAATTGTAAGGTTTGGGTTCATTGAAGGACTATTAGGGCTACAATGAAAAAATAATTTTACAAGTTACAGAAATTTAAATAGTGCTTGGGGTCCGCTAGACCCAGTTGAGGGTTAAGTGGTTACAGACGTCACAGTGGCCACAGACAGGTATTATCCTTGTATTATACATAGAGACCTGTTTTGAAAAAACTCCACATGAATGAGGCTTCCTCCTGGCTTCTCATTTGAGCTTACCAATCAATCTTTTTCAACAGCATAAAATTTAAAAATAATATTTTCATTAGTTATAAAGAATACTTCTAATATATCTAATCAGGGTCGGACTGGCAATATAGTACCCGAGCCCCAGCCTTCGCGGTCCCCCCTGTTTTAGGACTTACATGTAAGTTCCTTACTTATTCTTAAACAGAAATAAAACAGAAAAAAAGTGACGGTAATATTCTGATGTTGACCCCAACATTTTTTGGGGTCAAACCCCACCCAGGCACCTCTGGCCCAGTCCGACCCTATACCGGGTGCGTCTCAAAAGTGGCTCACCCCTATAACTTTTTTACTTTTTCAGATGAAAAAATGAGATTTGGTATGTTAGTATATGACATAAATTAGGATTGAATGACGTATTCAGTTGTTTTCGGTCACTTCCTGTTTCACCGGAAATTACTACAACTTTTGATTTTTAAATGGCATCCTTGGTATTTTTTTACTTTATTGGATAGAAAATGACATTCTGAAATGACACAATGAAATGACATAGAATGACATATTATATGTCAACTTTTTACATTCTCGCTTAATAAAAAATTGTATTTTAAAATTCAATCTAGAGTGTCATGGCCACGTTAAAAACACCAATTCTTAATCAAGGAGCCTTGGAAAAATAGATTTGATCGTCTTATGTTTTTAGTGTCTTGTCCTGGCCAGTTAGAAAATGCCCAAATCGTATTTTTAATCAAATCTCAATTTTTTTAAATGGAACGAGGGTGGTTCATTAGCATATTTGGAAAAAGCACGTTTTACGAATAATTTAATACCACACACTTGGTATTTCGAGTATTTCAAATTTGCGTTACGAATCGCAAGTTATAATTTAAAATAAAATATATGCAAAAATGTCAAAAGTTGACATATGATATGTTATTCTATTCAGAGTGTTATTTTCTATCGAATAAAGTAAAAAAATACCGAGGGTGCCATTTAAAAATCAAAAGTTGTAATCATTTCCGGTGAAACAGGAAGTGACCGAAAACAATTAAATACGTCAATCAGTCCTAATTTATGTCATATACAAACATACCAAATCTCGTTTTTTATCTGAAAAAATAAAAAAGTTATAGGGGTGAGCCACTTTCGAGACGCACCCGGTATACAGGGCGGTCCGAACTGTATTCCGGAAACTTCGGCAGCATATTCTCCAGATAAAAATAAGTAAAAAAGTTCGTATAAACATATGCCTTAAAATGCTTAGTTTCGGAGATACAGTGCAAATAATTTATGTCAATATATAACGTCAATATTTGGATGAAAATGGGGATGTCTGGGAGTTTTTTAACATGAGAAATTTGATTTTGATGTCAACATGACTCCTATTTGAAGAGGGCGCCACCTACAGTGTTTTAACTGTTTTGAAGAATAATAACTTTTTTTGTCTGTATAAAAGTACTGAGTAAAAAAATATACGTTTCCGTGACTTTTTAAGTAAAAAATGTCTCTGGGTAAAAATCCCTTCGAGTAACTGTTCTCAAGATAATTAGAATGGAAATAGTCCATACATGTCATTATAGACAAAATATAATTATGTTTGTGAGTAGATAGTTATTTGACTGAAATAATAAGTTCGGGAAATTTTTATTTAATTGATCATAATTCTTTCTGCGAAGAAATGATGATAAAACAGTTTCTTCTGAACTTTTGGCACAAAAACATTTCAAATTTATGATTTCAGTCTAATAACTATTTAGACTATTTAGTCAACATGTTTAATTTATGTCAATGGTGACAGATTGATAATTTCAATTCCAAATATTTCAAGAACCATATTACTCGTAGCGATTTTTAGTAAGAGACCTTTTTTACGTAAAAAATGTCGTAAATGTATAATTTTTACTCAGTAGTTTTATACAGGTACGGACTAAAAGTTATTACTCTTCAAACCAGTTAAAAAATATGTCGGTGGCGCCCTCTACATGTAGGAGTCATATTGACACTAAAATCAAATTTGTCATGTCAAAAAACTACCAGACACCAATTTTCATCTAAATATTTACATTACTTCATAAATTATTTAGAAAAAATAAAAATAAAAATGAAACTTCTACACCCTGTATCTCCGTAGCTAAGCATTCTAGGACATACATTTATACGAACTTTTTTAGTTATTTTTATCTGCACAATATGCTGCCAAAGTTTCCGGAATACACTTCGGACCACCCTGTATATATCGTCGGCTTTAGGACGAAAAGGCGTATCTCGATTTTTGCGAATTTTGAGATATCAACGTCATGACATGCCCAATGGGTCATATTTTAACATAGCGAATTTGCGCATCTCAATATTATACCTTTTTCATTTTATATACGTTTAAAAATTTGCCTCATCTCAAATACTACAATTCTTCGTTATGACGAAGAGACGTATGTTGGGATAGGATTCTTTGTTATATCAACTATTATACCAATTGTTATACTACAAGAAAAATAGAATTTGAGATAGGTCCTTTTGTTTTAAGTTATGAAAATGCATGCGAGAGAAAATCACACCATTCTGCCTAATTATTTTCTGATGGTTGCTTGGGTTAAAATAAAATTTCTATCTTGGCAGCAGCTCTCTTTTACAGTGGGATTTTGAGTTTTTTTTTCAAAACCCATTGTTAGAATGAGCTAGACTCAGCACATAGCCGGATTGGGTATCCAAAAGATTGTCCGAGAATAAATATATCCGAAGAAAAATTGACCGAGCAAAACAACGAAACGAAAATTGCCCTAATGGAAAATTTCCCGAAATCATAATTTCCCTCACAACATTTTAGCGAACCAAAGAGTTGCCCGAAGAATACAATAACTTTCATCTCATTATCATTGTCATCCCTGCCAATTTTTGGAAAATTTTATTTATTGTGCCTATCATCATCTAGCATAAATACGTAGAATGAAAGTCGAATTTGTTATCAGTGAACAGGGAAAACAGAAACTGTTACTCCACAGTTATTTGTATCAAAAAGGCACGGGCGAAGAAATATGTTTTGTTTGTTTTTTATTAAATAGACCGTGTGTTTAATTGCCCTCTATTAGAACAATATTTTACAAAAAATCGACATTTTGGATAATTTTTATTTCTGTTGTATTGCAATTACTAATAAACCAAAATACCGTATGATCGAATAAAAACGGCGTCAGCGATGGCTATGAAATGAAGATCGCTGTCATTTTATATGTAAAATTATATGGGAAATGTCATCGATCGTCATTTCCAAGCCAACTGGACGCCGTTTTTTTTCGATCATACGGTATAATTATTATCCAAACCAAACCAAAACGAAACCTATAATACCTATTAAGAAAATATCAAGATCTACAACAACCCCTTTGCACTGATAAACCTGTCATTCAACTCAATGAACTAAATAATTATTAAAAATATATTAGGTAGTTAAAAAATGTATTTTTGTATAAAAAACAATATTATTTAAATAAGCTAGATAAGAATATTTTAATTTATTATTGTCTTTACTTCTGGAATGAAAATTGTCTTTGTTTTCAGTTGATCTAATCCAACGCGAATAAAAGTATTTAAAAATATTTTTTTCTGATTTTTTTGGTGATTTCCAGATTTTTTCTTGTATGTATTGTATTTTCTTGTATGTATTCCATAATGTGAATATTGTATTTATTATTATTTATTTTTCCTTATTAAGAACACTTTACCGTCATTTTTAAATGTATTTTACATGGGCGTATGTAGGAAACTATTCGTTCGGAAATAAATTTATTAATGTTATAACAAAAAGGCCTATCTCTATTAAACAACTAAAAATAAATTATTTATTAAAATTTACGTTCAATTTATATTCAGAACCGTTCCTCAAGGTCTCTGTTTAAGTGTTTGGTTTGGTAAATAAAAAAACACTATTAAAAAATTAAAGACTTTACATTTATTGGCCAAATAAAGCAAGTGATTTTCTTTAAATTGCTGTCCCGAAAAGTAGCAAAAATTGAGATACGCCTTTTCGTCATAAAGCCGACGATATATTTGCAGCGAAGTTTTTAAAAAAGGGTACCTACTGTATAAAATTAGCAGGATAAAATTTTTTATTTTATCTAGCTATGAAAACTGGAAAATTATAACTGAGTGAGACACTTAGAATGGTTCTAGAAGATTTCATTCTCAACTCCATTGTGTATCGATAACGGCAAGTGCTAAAAATTGTCTATCGGATGATGCTAAAAAATATGTAGGGGTTTCCATTTAAAATAATTCAAGATGCCGTCGTATCTATCAAATTTGACGGCTAAAAAAAATCAAATAGAAAATCAGCATCCTCGCGTAAAATTATTTTACTCCTATCTTTAAATAGGAAACAGGAAATTTGCAATTTGGATGAGACACTTAAAATGATTCTGGAAAATTTCATTATTCAACCTACTGTATATCAAAAAGGGTAAGTGCAAAACTTTGAATAAGAAGACTAAGGAAGGAGCATAATGCTATCCATGTATTCATGCATGGTGGGCGGAAAAAGCACCATAAAAGCACTCTAGGGTGGGGATCCTTGACTTCGCTAGTAAATGACTATATAATATACATACGTGTAGTAAACCGATCATTTATGAAATTCACTTATATTAACTAAATTATATATTTTTCTTGCATTTTAGCTTTTATTTATTACTTGTCAAAGATTAGATGTCAAAGAATTTAGATACGTTAATTTGACTTACCTGCTTCAGTAGCGTATCGGATGTTTGTGGTAATAAATACTTGTTATAACTTATCTATTTTTATTAGAATTATATATTTTTATAACAATTTTAATAACTACCAACATTTATTCACAACGTAAAATAAAACAACAAATTATTGAGTCTACCCCACGTCTATCCTACATCATAGTTTTAGATTTTTTAAATAAAATTAGAACGACACTGATAAACCGGAATTTAAGTCGGCCATATTTGAGGCCCATCGCGGTGTACCTAAGATTTTTGATATGCCCCTTCCCTAGTCTTCTTATTCAAAGGTGCAAAAACTGTAAACTATATACTTTTGAAATTAGCTAAAAATTGTCTACAGGATGATACTAAAATATGTGCTGGTTTCCATTTAAAAAAATCAAGAGGGCGTCGTATCTGTCAAAATTGAGGTTTTAAAAAATCTGTTAAAGCAGGAATTTTATCGTAATTTGTATGTGTAAGTTTTGTCCTAATATCATTAATAGAAGGTATCAAATAAAACACGTTAATGTAAAAACACACTTAGTTTTATTTTTTAATTGGTATTATGAAATAAAATTTAACAGAACAAAAAACATGTTTATAAAAATACATAAAATTTTAATATTTAAGAAGATTAATCTTCTTCTTCTACTGTGCTCTAATATAACATTTTTTACATAAAAAAATACACGGTCAATTTTGAAATTGGTTTCTTTAAATAAAATGTATGAGTTTAAACTAAATATTAAGTTCTGCTGGTTTACTCTGCTATTATTTTTTGGAACAAACTTAAGATAAAAATCACAATAAGTTAAAAAATAATAGTCCGTTACTGGATCTTACTAATATTTTATGTAAATGTCCAAATAGTCACTATTGATTATATACAATTGTATACATTGAAAAATAATTATTATTTAACGTTACGACATAAAAGAGCACTTAAGTTTCATTTAAAAATGTATGTATATATTTTTTACAAATCTTTAATATGAACCTGTCATGAGTGATAAAAATCACAGGCGAAGGAGCTTTTACACTAGTTTTGTTAATTACATAGGTATATTTTACTTCCAAATTTTCAAACATAGAATCATACATATGCTCCTTATGTGAAGTTTAGTTGTAACCTTTACCATTTTTCAAATATTTTTAATTTTGAAATGATATATTTTTTTATATATTTTCTAGTCCCATTTTGAAGACAAGAGTTTATGGATCCATAGTTCATAAACACATCTATCAAAAATAATGATTGTATATCCAAATTCAAATTTTCTAGACTCAATATTTTCGTTAATAAAATAGATTAAATCCCAATAATAAATTTGTTGTTACAATAATAATTGCCTGAAACAAATTGAATATTTTCAATATAACTGAGTGTAACACAGGGTAATTCTCGAACTTGAAACAAAATTAGTAAATCAAATATATTTGTTTTCTTTTGTAAATATGTTCAGACACACGACGATTAGCATTTGAAATTGCACTCATTTTGATGCAAGAAAAGTTTATACAGCATGTCTCAAAATTTCATCAACATTTTTTTTTGACTATCCTAATTTTTTATAAGTATTCGTAAATGTTACTTCAAGTCGTGAGAGAATTTTAAGAAAGCTGGTTCTTTATTATATCTTTTGCTATGCCCTCCTGACCAAAGTGCGGGCCGTCTGGCTGCTGGTAGACTTTGCGTTTACTACTGCGCATCATATCTATATTCAACATCTGTTCACTACTGCTACAAATTCGCCCTGCGTTTGAGGAATTAAGGAGGCTAAGACAAACATATGTGTAGCATATTTAGTTTCATAAAAAAGTAGATAAGTAATGTGAAAATCGCATCATTGTATCTCTACTCATAAATGAGAAATCCTATAAACCACACGAAAATGGGATACCCTGTACAGATGTGATGCGCAGTAGTAAACCGCAGTAGTCTACCGGCAATCAGTCGGTCCGCACTATGGGCAGGAGAGCATAGCAAAAGATATATCAAAGAATCATTCCTTAAAATTCCCGTTTTCCTGACGTTGCTAGCCCTTGTACTATTATATTTTTATTAAGGTTAGATTAAATTTGTTAAAAAAGGGTCAAAACATCCGTTATCGTACGATCTTTCTCTGTTGACGGCCTGAAGTAAAAAATTTACGGATGAAAAATGGTGCGAAAACGCTATGATCAATCAGAGCGCCGCGCCGTCGAGCCATCGTATCAACGGATAACGGACGCATGCAAATCAAGCTTTAGGCTACGGACACAAAGATAGCTGAAGCGGTTATAAGCGTTTATACCAGCGTACAAGAGTACACAATGAAGATAAAAAGTAAGCGCCAATAATTAAATGCGCTTTTAAACAGACCCCCAAACAAAAAACTTGTCGGCGCTTGTTGCCAGCGTCGACTTTTTACCGGACCGAATTTAATTCTTGGTCGCTTGTTGTTTGTGCTGGGTGTGCAGTGTGCATATTGTGATATTCGATGCTGGCTCTGGCCAAAGAATGTTATACCCTGGCGCCGGCGCCGGTTTTCAGCGCTGATTAACTAGCTTTCTTTGTGTGCGTACCCTTACACATTAAAATTTGATTAACTGTCAAAATCAAAGCCGAGGTTAATCATAAATACTTGTCATCGTGTACTAATAAATGATCATTGATTCAGTGCCGTAAAGAGCTTAAGATCCAATGAATTACATCTTTGATACATGTTAGAAACCAAAATGGGACATTTTTTCAAACTTACGGAAAGTACCTATTAACTTCTAATTAATTAACTAACTAAATTTAACTCATTAACTTGCATATTATATCAAAATATTTATAAAATGGTAAGGTTTTAATTTAAATAAACCAAATTACCTATGATTTGAGATAGTATCTGCTTTACTGCGTCTCTATTGTAAAATTCATTTGACTTCTAATTAATTAGGTCTATAGTAATTATTTTTTTAGCTGATTTCGAAAATAATTGATAACCTTGCATACAGCCAATACCCGATCGTAAATTATATTATGAACAATATTTTACAGAATTGTTTTGGTACAATATTTCCTTTTTATATATCAGTATTTACACTTCAAATATATTCTAGCTACATTTATTTATTTACTGTAAATTCTTTGTATTTTTTTCTTGTTTTTTTCCTTATATATTTAGTGCCGATACTGTTGTGCATTAATCCTGGACGTCGTAAAACTTACTTCAATCGCAGGACAGCAAACACACGTAATTGTATATAAAATATTTATGGTAACACATATATCATTTCGAATATCACAAAATTTGCTAAAGCATTATGCTAAGACATTTCATGTAGCTGTTAACTGATGGAATCACATACAATGTCACAGAAAGAGTCCGCATCATATACACTTTTTATTAATTCATTTAGCTGAAATTTAACTTTGACGTCAGCTTTTGCTTTAAATTAGATTAAAAATGAACCTGTCTTTCTCGGTTATCAGTCAAATTAGATATTTTAAGTTGTAAATGTTTAGACACAGGGTTTATTGGCCGAATTTAAAAAAAAAACTTTATTCAGATATCAAGTACCTAGGAATATATTTAGACAAAGACGTGCGAATGACAGTACATATTAAGGAGGAGCTAAGCAGATGGTTTTTGCAGTGGTAAACAAGATGGCATGAATGGTGAGAAAGACTTTCATTAAAGATATTAGAAAATAGTGTGAAAGAAAATAGGGTAATATTAATTTTTATACATCACAGGCTATGACTGGTCATGGAGTCTTAACAAAGCTTTTAAACATATTAAACCCTTATAATAAATGCCTTACTTTATGTCCAAGAATCCAAAAATGAAATGAAATACCGGGTGTTCCATAAGAAAAAATATAACTTTGGTATAGATCTTAGTTATGACACACCCTATACATTTCAAAATAATTTTATATTATGCAAATTATATTCCCACATATACCCATAAAATATTTTGTTTCTACATCTTTTCGTTTAGGTTAGGTATAATCAACCGAGGTGAATGAGGTGCGCCACCCTGTATATACAAGTACAAAACGAGATTGAGCATAAAATTACGAAAGACAAAGTAGCAGAAGAGTGAAAAAATCCTAAGAGTGAAAAAGTGTCAGCAGACTAATGACGAATATAATGAAGGAAAATATAGAGGAGGAAAAGTATAGACCTAGAAAATAGAGGATACTTTGTGAGGTTGAAGTAATGCTTAGGGTAGTTCCAACCGCACTTGAGAAATAAGACAGGGGAAAAAGTTTAAGTCGGTCGCTACAAGCAAACTCGACACAACCCCCGCCGCTAGACCAGCAGGTGGGGACAGACTTCCTACACCTAAACCCCTTAAAAAAACTTTTTTTTTAAATTTCAACATAATTATATTAAAGTCGAACAGATGAAAACAAATAATACAGTTAGAGAAAATTGATAGACTTATGTAAAATAAAATACTTTTTTCAAAGTTTTTCAAAATTCGACCAATAACACCATTCTCAGCCATTTATTACTTTAAATGTCAAATTTAGAAGATTTCCGGGAGCAACAAGTTAAATCTTATTATGCTATTTTTAATCTAATTCAATGCAAAAATTAATGCTAACGTCAAATTTTACCTAAATCAATTAATTAAAAAATCCCATATAATGCCCACTTAATCTGTGACACTGTACAACGTCAGATCATAAAAATTAAGCATACAATATCTTAAAAACAACATTAAATTAATTAATAATATTTAATAACTCTAGATTTTTAGATATAATTAAGACATATTAATAAATTACGTAATTAGAATTCTTATCATATTTATTATAACGTGACTTATCGAAAAAAAAAACGGCATCAGAGGTGACTAGCGAATAAAGACCGCTATCATTGTATACCCCAATTTTTATAGTGAATGTGTTAGTCATTTCGAAATTAACTTTACGCCTTTTTTTCGATTATAAGGTATACTTACACACACTCTGCAAATTCAGTTTTAAGTACCTGCATTAAAATTCATTACAACAGGTTTTATTATTAAAATATTACAATAGGAAAATTGATAAACTATCGAATATTTGTGTAGTTAATGACGGCAAAATTTAAAACGTTTTTTCTTCTCTAAAACTATATAGTTTTGTTGAAGTAAATTAAAAAAATACTACTCATTTACTCAATACATTCTAAGTTTATTCCAAGCTTCATGAAATGTCCGTTTGATACAATATGTTTGTGACTTGATACAAATATAGGTACAAAAACAACACTGGAATAGGTATGACGTACATTGTCATATGGGGTTTGTACAAAGTTATTTACACTACGGATTTTTTACATAGCCTCGTCTCAACAGGCTATTCTATCGGACATTCTGTCGCTTTTTGGAGGAATTAGCTTGTGGCCTTCCGAACTATCAGAGTCGCTAGAGTCTCCGTCGCTTACGGACACCACGTTGTAGTTGCAGGTAACTTTCGGTTTCTTTATCGACACTCTACTGTAGCCTCGTTGTTGCGATTGGACGCTGTTTCTCTGGAAAATATAATTTAAAGATTATATCGTCTGGTATATTTCGAGTATCGCAACAGAAAATACATAAAGCAATCACAGTACCGCAATACGATATTATAATACTAAATAATGAACCCCTATAACTTCTTATTTTTTTAGATAAAAAAAACGGGATTTGGTATGTTGGTATATGATATAAGTTAGGAATGATTGACGTACTTAATTGTTTTTAACTGTTTTTTTTAACTGCATAGATTGACATATCATGTCAACTTTTGACATTTTCGCTTTAAAAAAATCGTATTTTAAATTTCAATCTAGAGTGCCATGGTTGTGTTAAAACATCAATTTTTAATCAAGGAGCCTTGGAAAATAGATTTGATCGTCTAATGTTTTTCGTGTCTTGTCCTGGCCGGTTAAAAGATGCCCAAATTGTATTTTTAATCATATCTCAATTTTTCCAAAACGGAACGAGGGTGGCTCATTAGCATATTTAGAAAAAGCATTTCTTTAGGAATAATTTGATGCCATACACTTGGTATTTCGAGTCAAATTGTCGTTATGAACGGCATGTATAATTTTAAATAAACCATATCCGAAAATGTCAAAAGTTAACATATGATATGTCATTCTATTTAGAGTGCCATTTTCTATTGAATTTACTTCATTCAAAGATCATTTGCAATTGTTGTTTTTTGTAATTTTAATTTGTAATTTTCGTTGTAATCATTTCCGGTGAAACAGGAAGTGACCAAAAACAATTTAATACGTCAATCAATCATAATTTATGTCATATACTAACATGCCACATCTCGTTTTTTTGTCTAAAAAAATAAAAAAGTTATAGGGGCGAGCCACTTTCGAGACGCACCCGGTATATAAAAAAAATGCAAATTTTGGTAGAACCTATTTTGAAGAAGACACTATTCTATACTTCCTGTTAAAAATAAAATTCTTCGAATTTGGAATTTTAAGAGAACTTTAAATAAGCAGGAGAATTCTTTAAAATTGGTTATATTTCAAAAACCATTTGGTATTTGAAATTTTGTATTTTTGGATCGGAAATTTAGTGGTAAATTCACTAAGCTGTAAAAATATATAGTATTCCGTTTAAAAATATACAACTTTGGTCTGAAAATATGCTTGAATCACCCTGTATGCTGACAAAAATATTATCCAAATTGCCCCATATTATGTAAAAAATGAAACGAAACCAAAAACCTTATATAGAACTTTTTCGGAAGCCTGAATCACACTGTATGATTTTCAAATTTTTGTTTCGAACATTGACAAAATAGTTATTATCTTCCCAAGCAGCATTTGGATGTCGGGACAACGTTGTGTCACGCGACCAAACGTCGGGGCGCAACGTCGGCACAACCTCGTGCCAACCCACACTAGTTTGGTGAATAATTTTTGGGTCGAAACGACGTTGGATACCGACGTTGGCTAGCAGCCTATTTTAGTACAAACTGCAACGTTGTTTAAAATCCTAATTAATAGAAATACAAAACTATAATAATATATGGCGTCTAAGTCGCGTTTTATCCTAAATTGGGATAATTATAGTAAAAATATTATTTTTATGATTTAGTTAGAGAAATATGCCAGATGGCAGTAAAGGAAAACAAAACAAAAGTATTTAAGTGTGGAGGATGTTTGAAGATCATAATTATTGAAACACTTTAACCAACTCTGTAACTCGTTACCTAAGGCAAAAAAGTTAAACGCAAACAACTTTATTGATAAATGTATTGTTTCTACTTTGAAAAATACTAATGGGCCTTAAAATTAAAGAAGTTTTAAAAAAATTTTGATTTTTTTTTAGTAAAATGAGAATAATTTATTCGCAGTCGAAAAAAAAATTCCGCGTGTTGTTTAGGGTCAAATATTTCAAGTTAATGTATTCAAAAAGCAGGAATTGCTATTTTAGGAACGAAACATTTTCTTATTCAACAACATTGCGGCTTTCACTTGTTGTTTTGAAGATTAAGATGGAGTAGTTCGAGTAGTCGCATACTGGACTAATAAAGTCGCAGTTCAGCCTTAACAGGTAGTATACTAGTGGCAAGATTGCCCAATTTAGTCATCCTAGAGTTTAGCTTGTGCCGCCCTCTATATTCTAAACAAACGAGGGAGTGGATAAAGTATTGGTAATATGTCGATGTATATTTACATTTAGTTTTATATGTACCTTTCTTATGTCCCATTTTAATTAAGTTTTTTTTTATAAAAACAAAAACAGCACTGAACTGTCTGACTGAACAGCACAATGAAGTGAAAATTTAAAATTTAAGGTTATGGTTCAATACAGTTGCAAAAAGGTAGTGGCTCGATGACCTACCAACGTAAGAATAAGGAAATCTAAACAACGTTGGAATTAGTAAAACAGACGACGTTTGCATAACGTTGGAATAGGTCCTGAAAGTGACGTCGGAAAACTCTTTATTGCCCAACATTGTAACTACGTTGTCTGTATCACCTAAATATCACTTAAGCAAAAAAGGTTACAAGACAACGTTTATTCGACGTCGCAGAAGCTTTTAGTTTGTTGTAGTCCTAGTTGAACGTCGGCACAACGTTACAACAACGTTTACATTTATTTTAATACCCAAGGTACGGAGCTAACTATTTTTTGTAACTAATCCAACGTTGTGTTTAGTAAACATGTGGTCACAAGTCGTGAAAATGCTACTTGGGTTAACAAGTTCGGAAAGAGTCGGAAAAAGAATTATACCGGAATATTCCATTATGTGCAAACAAATTCATGAATGATTACGTATAATAATAAGATTGGCTGCTGACTTACCTGTAAAACCAAAAAGATTACTATGAATAAAATTATTATACATAAACATGCTATTATTGCCAGTCCAGTTATAAAATTGAATGGATTCACTAGTTGTAACGTCGACACCGGTTGTGCGGAGAGAAGCAATGCTTCTACATTTATTTTTCTTTTATCCTCTTGTATTTTGCATTCTAAAACAAAATATGTATGTTACAATTATATTTTACTATATTTGGGAATATATTCTTAATTACCAGGACAATTTCTGCAAGAATAATGACACTTTTGACATCCATACTCGGTTTTGTAATATTCTTCTGGACAATCCGGTCTACATTCTCCATTCAATAATTGCCACGAGCTAGGACAAGTAACGCATTGGTCCTGACTTGGTCCGCTACATGTCTTACAGCTCATATAACATCTGACGCACAAGCCTTTGTCACTATAATAACCCATGGCACATGATGTATAGCATTCACCGCCTTGTAACTGTAAATGACATCAGACTTATAAAAACTTATCAAGAATTAGGTTTATATTCGTATTACCTGTAACCCTGATTTACATTCAGTGCAATTCATTTTTGCGGAACATTTTGAACATGTGTGTAAACATGGCTCGCACATTTGGCTACCTCTTTCGTTGTAAAATCCGTTGTCACATCTAGCCACGCATCTGGTATCTTGTAAAATTAAAGGACTAGCACAGGACAAACAAGCTTTTTCAGTAGGACCATCACATGAGTCGCATGTCGAATGACAAGGTTTACATAAACCACTGTCATAATATTGGTCTAAAAATATGCAAAAACAATAATAATAGTCTGACTTCAACAATATATTTAAAATACATACCAACATCACATTTTTCACTATTCTGATTTTGACATCTTCCTTTAGTGTTTACTTTCCAGTCGTCTAAACAAGAGATACAAGTGGTAGCATTACATTCGCTACATCCTGGTGGGCATTCTATGCATTCTCTTTGATGATGATCGGCGTAGTGATGAGCTGGACATTCCTTAACACAACGACCCTCTTGCCAAAACCTTCCAGATGGACAGGAAATACACTGAGAACTGTTTGAACCAGTGCAAGTCTCACAGGATTCATGACACGGAGCGCACCTACAAAATGATATACCGTATGATCAAAAAACTGTCTGATAAAATTTCCCATATGAATCGTTTACTTGTCATCATCAAAAGCGAGCATGATCATTAAACTATTTGATCATATTTTATAAGTCCAATAAGACCAGAAAGCTTTATGATCAAGTGTTTGTTTACTTTGGTTACTCAACCATAGAACTTTTTGATTGTACGGTAGTTTTTGATGGCTAAACACATTCTATTCAAATAAATACATATACTTTGTACAGGGGGAGTCAATGATAGTGTAACGTCCGTTATCTCATTTGTGTCGAAGTTTAAAAAAATGTTAAATATAAAAGTTATAGGGAATTAAGGTACACATTTTGAAACTCAAAAAAATTACCTGGTTAAATTAAATACAATAAAATAATATCTTTTAAACTAGGTTGTTTTATGTTAAAAAGTTAAAAAATTTATTTTTTTACCTTATTTATGAAAATAAGTTTAGGAAAAATATAATATTTTTAGAAAGTTTATGACAAAGCAAATTTAATAAAAAAAATAATATACAGGGAGTCCCATTTAAAAAACATTTAAATAAAAATAAGTGTAGTTTATATTTCGAAAAATGACAGCTTCCAACGAAAAACTAGTTACGCCCGTGAAAATGTTCTACGTGAAAATTTCTACTGAGCTCAATTTTCACCTTTTCGATAAGTTATAAGATAACCGAGATATGAAGGGGTCGAAAAGTGCAACATTTTCAATATCGCCCTGTATTTCAGGAACTAAGAGGGCTAGGGCAAATCTGTGTGTAGCATTTTTAGTTTCATAAACCGCATCTTTGTATCTCTATCCATAAGCGAGATACTTACCCTGTAAACACACGTAAATGGGACACCCTGTACAGTATAAGTACGTTCTCAAATTCGGAATTGAGAGCGTTCCGAATCTAATATTACAATTGACGTTTGTTCATTTTGGTTGTGTTTATATTTTTAATTTTAGGCGCCACATATCAGTTCTAGAAATATTTATTAAAAAAAAACTTAAATTTTGGTTAACAGCGTATTGAACTTTTAATTTTGATACTGATCGATAACCATTAACAAGATCATAACTACAAAAGTAGACTATATAATAGTAGTTATTATACGCATAGACTATACAACATATTTAAACAAAATGTATCTACGATACCTGTAATCGTCTGTTTCATAAGTGTTTTTAGGACACGAAGCTAAACATTTGCTTTGGTACATTAAAAGATGATGATCACAACTAGTACACTGATCTGGACGATCCTGACATTCTGCACAATTTGGTTGGCATGGTATACAGGTTCTATCAGCAAAATCTTAAACAAGAACAAATACTTATTGAAATGTCTGATTTACTTAGCTTATATTCTTACTTTCATAGAATCCTTCCGGACATTGCTGAAGACAGATGTCCAGATCAATAACACGTACATGTCCTGGTGAGCATGTAAGACAATTTTTCTGTTCTGGTCCAGTACATGTCTCACATGCTTCATGACACGGTTGACAAGCCCCTTGTGAATCTGTGTAACTTCTTGGTGGACATGCACTGATACAAGTTCTACAAATGTATAAATATTAAATTTAGAAATTTATTAACTTCCTCTTCATACTTGTCCATGCGTTTATATCTGCAAGCTATGCATTTTGATGGTCCCTTTCCAAAGCATCCCTGATCGTCGCATTGTTCGTCACATCCTTCCTTTGTTTCTTCATCAAAATCTATGTTATTCTCATTATTTTGCCTTACTTTAGTATTCTTTCCGTCTAAGGAACTGATAGATAATTCAGGATCTGATCCGGCAAATGAGTAGACATGAGGAAATTCGTTGAATACTTCAGATGGATCGAAGAAATTGTCTGTTACAGGTGTAACAGGTTGAGCTTGAGTTGGAAACGCAAATGTATTGCTTGCTGCTTTCCATGGGGTGGATCTAACATTGCTTGAAGGGCGTAATCTAACTGGATTGACATTGGTACCTGTTAAAGTAAAAGAAATTAAATATTATATTTTGAAAACAATATGTTAAAGCATAAGTAAATTAATTAATATAAAATTAAAAATTAAAATATCAATTTTTTGTAATAAGGCCATTGGCTTTAGAATCCACGAAAAACATTTTCCGGGTTTCTCTCTTTAATAGATGTATCTGTCTTTTACTTAATACATAATGTATAGGGCATTCCATTTTAGTTGAAATCATACGGTATCTCCGTTATTAGTAAAGATAGAACAGTGCGGCTTGCACAAACCTGTCCCACTTTATTGGCAAACGGAAGATGCCGTAAACAAAATTTTCATAGCCCTCTTCGTTTCTGAGCTACAGGGCTTTTTAGAAAATTCTGCAATTTGGGACACCCCCTGTATCTCTGTTATTGTTAAAGGTATCGAGAAGATGAAAGCTGTTTATTGTAGAACTTTTTACGTATAATACAGTGGCATACCATTTTGATTGTTTTGTTTTTTGTTGTTTATCACGGCCTTCTCTCTAATAAGAAAATTATATATTTTAAATGTTGCAGTAAATAGTGAAACTAAATATAGAGTGATATATATTTTTGAGAGGCTCATATCAAGACGGATTTATAAATATGTAAGGTGTTAAATTTGAAAAAACATAAATTTAGTTATACAGGGTGGCGCACCTCATTCGCCTCGGTTGATTATACGAAAACGGAAAGATGTAGAAACAAAATATTTTATGGGTATATGTGGGGAGGCAACGTGCACAATTTAAAATTATTTTGAAATATACAGGGTGTTTCAGAACTAAGATCCATACCAAAGTTATACTTTTTCTTATGGAACATCCGGTATTTTATTTCATTTTTGGCTTCTTGAGCCCAAAAAATTATATTATATATATAACAAAAAAAAAAAAAAATATATTATATTATTATATTACGGTATTTATTGGTTAAATATGTTTAAAATGTTTGGTTTTTAAGATATTTAAAGATATTTAAATTTGCATGCTATACAATAAAATAAATTATTAACATATTAACACCCTGTACAATACTTTTCACAATTAATTCTTGTGCTGAGTTTAAAGGTAGTGAAATAAGCTTTACAGAAAAATGTTATTCCTTCCTTAAATTTATACGGGGGTATCAAAAATTGCTGATCTATTTTAAGGATTTATTTTACATAAAAACTTTGTTTTTTCAAATACAACACCCTGTATTTTTTTAAATAAATTGAAGCAGATTCAAATGCTCTTTCAAACTATATTAGGGTTTCCTATACCTGTCTAGCTCAGATTTTGAAAAAGAGCGATTTTTCAATAAAATGACAACCAAGAGGACTAGTGTCGTCATGGCAAGTTTCCAGTGAGAGGTAGTAGCTATTTTCAAAATCGAAATTAGTTTATGGGCTTATTTAAATTTATACCAGTTTACTTTTATTTAATTTACCTACAATAGTTTAATAAATAATATTTATTAAATATGTATTTATTATTCTATGAAGAAAAACGAAAAAGTAGTTCTTTGATTTATTTTACGATGACTTGTAGATATATGGATTTTCTATAAAAGAGCCAATTACGGCAAATTCATTTTCTTCACTTCCAACGACAGATTTCTGCCTAATTTTTTTTTCTGCATGCTTTTTTTTATAAACCACACTACAGCTCTGCAAAATAATAGGACAAGTAGTTTTTCAAAGGCACGCTTATCAGAAAGAGTCATATTTGAATATCTTTGAGCATAAGCCCATGAGGCCAAGAAGAAATTTTCCTCACAAAATAAAATCACTAGTAACATATCTATTCCTTCCGCCAGCAGATACTGCTTTATTTTTCTTGATAAAATAATGAATACTTACTTATTAAACTATTGTAGGTACATTTAAGTAAACTGTTATAAATTATAAATAATAATGTCCATAAACTAATGTCGACTTTGAAAATGGTTACTAACTGTCACTAGAAAATTGCCATGGCGACACAAGCCATCTTGATTGCAAGTTTATTTAAAAATCGATTTTTATTCAAAATCTCAGCTAGATAGGTATAGGAAACCCTAATATAGTTTGAAAGAGCATTTGAATCTTCTTCGATTTATTTTAAAAAATACGAGGTGTTGCATTTGAAATAATGAACTTTTATATAAAATATATCCTTAAAATATATCAGCAACTTTTGATAGCCCTGTATAAATTTAAGGAAGCAATACCATTTTTGAGTAGTTTATTTCTCTGCCTTTAATAAACTCAACATAAGAATTAATTCTGAAAAGTAATGTACAGGGTGTTAATAATCTATTCTATTGTAGCATGCAAATTTAAATATCTTTAAATATCTCAAAAACTAAAAATTTTAAACATATTTAACCCTTATAATAAATGCCTTTTTTGGGCCCAAGAATCCAAAAATGAAATAAAATACCGGGTGTTCCGTAACATAAAATATAACTGTGGTATGAATCTTAGTTCTGAAACACCCTGTATAGTTCAAAATAATTTTAAATTGTGCACATTGTCTCCACACATATACCAATAAAATATTTTGTTTCTACATCTTTCCGTTTTCGTATAATCAACCGAGGCGAATGAGGTGCGCCACCCTGTATATATATTTTCCAAAAAATATATTTTTCGTAGAAAACAGACTACGCCACTGTATTCTACGTAAAAAGTTCTACAAAGAATCAGTTTTCACCTTCTCGAAATCATCCATAATAACGGAGATACGGGGACTGTCCTAAATGGCAAAATTTTTGAAAAGACCCTGTAGCTCAGAAACGAAGAGGGCTATGAAAATTTTGTTTGCAGCAACTTCCGTTTGACAAAAAAGTGGGATAGGTTTGTGTAAACCGCATCCTCCTATCTTTACTATTAATGGAGATACCGTATGATTTCAACCAAAATGGAACAACCTGCACAACTTTTAAATAATTTTGATTATTTTTTCGTATCTAAGAATATAGTGGAGCGACGAGGAGAGCGGCGAGCAAGCAGCGCGACATCGCGTCCAAAACAAACCTGTGAAGACAAGTACGTGCGAACATTGTAAAGCGATCTGCTCGAACGGTTAGATCGAGCAGCGAGATCGGTTCAAATAATTTCGTTTTCGTCGCTCTGTTGCGCTGTAGAAAATGATAGATTCTCTAAAATTAATAGATTTAGTGGTAATTTAGTATATGTAAGAGAGATTTTATGGTATCAGAAAAATAGTAATCACCATAACCATAACCGGTGCATTTTAGATAAGTTATGAAATAAAGTGGCAACAAATTTTCGCAAAGGTTATAAAACTTGCCATACTTTCTCGGGTTTTTGAAAACTTCATTTAACCAAATGTTTGCGACACTACTGACCACAATTTTAGCCACTGTTAGCATTTTATATTATCAATAAGTAAATGAAAATAATAAAATTGTACAAGTATCTCGCTATTCCCTGCCGCCCTACTATATGTTTCAGCACCTCCAGGCTTGCTCGACGCGGTATCGCGCTGCTTGCTCGCCGCTATCCCCGTCGCTCCACTATGTTCTTAGCCTAAGCTACTGATGGCGTAGCAGGGAAAACAACAAATTTATGTTCAAGAGAGGAGTGTATCCTTAACTTCGAGTGTATCCTCTTAATGGCGAATTCTAATTTATTTTTTTAATCAAAGTTAACTTATGAATACTTTATATTCATCTTTTCTAAAAAGTCTTAGTAAACTAATTTCAGTGTTTAACAAACTTACCTTTTCGTTTTAAAATAAAAAGTCTTATTTCGAATAAATTTTGTACATACCATAAAATATCAGTTGCCATTTCTTCAAGATACCAGGCTGGTTAACATGTCTGCTGCCAGCGTTTATAATTTGTAAATGCCATCTTCCTTCGGCTTTTTCGCCCCAAAAGTGTACAGACAGGAAAGGCCAGTCATCAAAGTTCGAACTAACGACGTCTCTGGGTCTCTCAAATAACAGGGTAGAAGTGGTTCCCATGGGCGAGGTCAATAGAATTCGCAAATTACCTCGAGGGAAAAACCTCAACGATATTTTGCATTGGACATGTTCCAGGAAACGTACATCGTTTAATGTGTTACTGCAGGCATCGACCGTCATATAGAAATCTAAGGTGGTGCCTGAAATAAAAGTAATAAATAATAATTTGTGAGTTTAAGTGCGGTTAAGTTTTAATCAGTGAGAGTTTATAACTTTGAATAAGAAGACTAAGGAAGGAGCATATCAAAAATCTTAGGTCCACCGCGATGGGCCTCAAATATGGCCTACTTAAATTCCGGTTTATCAGTGCCGTTCTAATTTTATTTAAAAAATGTAAAACTATGCTGTAGGGTAGATGTGGGGTAGACTCAATATATATATTTTTTTTATTTTACGTTGTGAATAAATGTTGGTAGTTATTAAAATTGTTATAAAAATATAAAATTCTAATAAAAATAGATAAGTTATAATAATTATTTATAACAATAAACATCCGATACGCTACTGAAGCAGGTAAATCAAACTGACGTATCTAAATTCTTTGACATCTAATCTTTGACAAGTAGTAAATAAAAGCAAAAATGCAAGAAAAAATATATAATTAGTTAATTTAAGTGAATTTCATAAACGATCGGCTTACTACACGTATGTATATTATATAGTCACTTACTAGCGAAAAGTTGTTCCATTATTTCACTCGATTTTTGCCGAGATCTACCGCACACTACACAACCAACTATTTTAGAGTCTTTTTCGATAAATCGCGATACTGTCACTGTTAATTTAAGTTCTGCCACAATTTCCAACTAGATTTACTACCATTATACAACTATCAGTAGTAGAATAAATAATAAATAACATAAAATAAGCTCCGTAAAGACTGACAAATGTACAAAATTTCAAATCAAATTCAAATGTGTCAAATGAATCATCAAACAGAACTGTCAAGGATCCCTACCCTAGAGTCCTTTTTCCGCCCACCATGCATGAATACATGGATACCATTATACTCCTTCCTTAGTCTTCTTATTCAAAGGTTTATACAATGTCAGGCATGGAAAAAAAGATACCTTAAAATTTATTTTTACCCTCAAACGGGCGCGTCCGGAATTTTGTACTCCTATTTTACTAATTTCAATAAAACTAAATATTCATTGGTCGCAGCTGTAGTAAAATGAGTAACTAATAGTGAAAAATAAAGTTCCAACCCTAGAAGCAACATTTTTCGGAAACGCCTATTTGTGCGGTTTCAAATTTTGATGCAAACTCCGGCAATACCGCATATAAGGAATGTGGCGACCCAATTTTTATCTCTTTTTAATACATTTGATTTTCCCTTAAGCTGTCTACATCACTGTCTTACACGTTAAAATCCAGACAGCATAGTTTCGATGACCAAATCGGTATATCTATCGAGAAAAGAAAATTAAACATTTAGATGATAATTTAGTCTTCTTCTAGTGGTTCGAAATAATTTTTAATTATTGTTTAAATATTTAAAATGTTCTATTTTGTTTCTTTTATTATAATATGTTCGGTATGGTCTAGTTTTTGTGAGTTGGCAAAGTTATATATTTTTTTATTTTAAATACTAAAAAAGTCTGTTTGGTTCCTTTTTTATAACACAATTTTTTTATGTATTAATAAAGTCAATAAGTATTAAAAATGTTGTTTGTTATTGTTTAACATTTTAAGTTTTATACTAAAATATTTTAAATTATAGAATATTTCAAAAATATAAGTGAGGTACGGAATACCGCAATGCACCCGGTCGTGTGATTCTAAAGTACGCGCCTGCCCGAGGGTTAAAGTTTTATTCTGGTGGGTCGATTTTGATGATTTTTTAATCAATTTTTAGCAAAATTATTTCACTTTTTAATATATTTTTAAATTAAAAATTAAATTTATCATTTGTCTGTTTATACCCTATGCGAAAGAAATCAAAATGTTATTTTGATGGAAATTTGTAACGCCTTGTGGAATGAATTAATGGAAGTAAAAATTTAAAGACTGCTTTATCCTCAAGATTGTCTAAAGACCATATTTCATACCATATGTTGGAGGTATAGATCTCTCTTCAAGGACTTCTTGACTTTTGCATATATGTTGTGGTGGCACGGTAGTCCATTTTTCCGCTAATGATACTAAAGCTCCGGCGTCCATCAATCCATAACCAAACTTATGCGATACCTTCCTTCGTACTCCGTTTGTAACCCATCCACCTTCTTTTTCCAGTGGAGCTGATCTAGATGTTAACACAACCAAGTACTGCATATCTCTCCATGTTAAAGTAGGGTTGGCTTCCAATGCTAATGCACATATACCTGAAATTAATAATAGTTTTAGAATGTAATTATTGAAAAATATACAGGGTGGTCCGAACTGTATTCCGGAAACTTCGGCAGCATTTTCTGCAGATAAAAATAAGTAAAAAAGTTCGTATAAATATATGTCCTACAATGCTTAGTTTCGGAGATACAGGGTGTAGAAGTCCCATTTTTATTTCGATTTTTTCCAATAAATTTCTGAAGTGACGTCAATATTTGGCTGAAAATTCGTGTCTGGAAGTTTTTTGACATGGGAAATTTGATTTTGATGTCAATATGACTCTTATTTGTAGGGGACACCTACATGTGTTTTAACTGTTTTAAAAAGTAATAACTTTTCGCCCCATACTGAGTAAAAAATATACATTTCCTTGACTTTTTACGTAAAAAATGTGTCTTGGTAAAAATGGCTTTCTCAAGATATTTCGAATGGAAATAGTCAATACATGTCATTATTGACACAAAAATAATCACGTTGAGTAGATAGATATTTGGCTGAAATAATAAATGTGGGAAATTTTTATTTTTTTTTTTAAATTAATCATAATAAAACAGTTTCTGTTGAACTTTTGACAAAAAAACATTTCAAATTTATGATTTCAGTCTAGTAACTATTTAGTCCACATGTTTAATTTATGTCAATGATGACAGGTATTGATAATTTCGATTCCCAATATCTCGAGAACCATTACTCGTAACAATTTTTACCAAGAGACCTTTTTTACGTAAAAATCGTTTTAAATGAATATTTTTTTACTCGGTAGTTTTATACACGTACGGGCGAAAAGTTACTACTCTTCAAAACAGTTAAAACACATGTATGTGGCGCCCCCTAGAAATTGGAGTTATATTGACATCAAAATCAAATTTCTCATATCAGAAGACTCCCAGACACCAATTTTCATCAAAGTATTAACGTTACTTCACAAATTATTTGGAAAAAATCGAAATAAAAATGATACTTCTACACCCTGTATCTCCGAAACTAAGCATGCTAGGACATACATTTATACGAACTTTTTTACTTATTTTTATCTGCAAAATATGCTGCCAAAGTTTCCAGAATACAGTTCGGACCACCCTGTATATAAGGTAATCCAGTGTACCTAAAAAAATCCATATCAGTTCGATATGCTTCTTATCGTTCGTATATCTGCCCAACAAGAGAATATTGGACAGTGACAGTTGTTTGTTATTTTTTGGATGTCTTCTGTCGATATCTTCCCTGATTCGTTGGACAGACTTTAATAGGTACATTTTCAAATATATTTTTACAATAAAGTAAAGCTTTTTAATAAAATAATGCATATTTGATCATTCCATCTCAATGGATCAAATTCCAAAAATGCTATGTTGTTCGCTATACTGAGTAGTTTTTGAAATATGACCGTTATTAGACTAAATTTGAAATGTGCTATAAGTGAAATGTGCTATAAGTATGGTTAATAAGAGAGACCAGCAGAAATTATACATCTTATTTAAAAAATACAACTTTAGCGTATCATCCTGTATATATACGAATAACTTTTAAAAATGTGCACTACTATTGTCTGCATAATGCAAAAAAAGTTTGGAGAACTTATGACAGAAAGCCTGATATTGTGTTGTTTAGAAACACCGAGTCACCCTCTGAATTAACTGATATACGGGTTCATTTTAATACTCACCAGCGGCTAATGGAGCAGATGCTGATGTACCAGTATGTTCTACTGTGCAAATATGGTCAGGTCGAAGTCTGGCATCCATATCAACAGTTGCTACGCTTTTATCATGACCAGGGGTGCCAGAACTATACGTGGTAGCTAATGTAGAAGAACACTCCTCCAGATACCATGGTTTATACCTACAAGAAATGTAACATTACAATTATTTATTAATTTTTATATTCTTAAGTAAAGTTTTACAGATACAAATCAATAATATTTTAATGATCAACTTCGGAAATAATTGTAGCAGAAAAATTTAAACCTTACATTGAAATTAAAACTTATATTAAATCTACTTATGTATAATTTGACTATTTACTATGTCTAAGTATATTGTCTACTTGTCTATGCATTAGTATATAGACTTAATATAATATATATAATATCTTACCCTGTACTATAATTGATATTACAATTATAATGCGAATTTAACAAACAATAACAATTTATGTATTATTGAACTTCAATAAAAGATAACAATACTTTTTATCTCATTTTATAAAATATTTTATTATTAATTTGAAAAAGAAAATAACAATCGTAACCTTTACAATTATGATATATTCACTAAGTTTTATGTTCCGTTACTAACAACTGCATATTATTCCAAAATTTTAAAATAAAGCAAACTCTAATGTAAATATACAATGTATTCACATTGAGTATTGGACACATAAGAAAAAGTTCATTATAATATTTCATATTTTTAATTTTTGATAACTACTAACTCTATTCTTTAAATACACGGGACCTACAAAAATATTAGTCAGCTCAAGAATAAAGTGATTATTTTTTAAAGTATTAAAAATTGATTTAAAAAGAGCTTAGAATGAAAAATATACAAGAAAATATACTTAAAAAATTATAGTTTATTATTTATAGACATTTATATTTCTACTCTCTTACAACAAATTTAGGAATAGAAACACAAAATCCATTTTAAGAATATAATATACAAAACTGATCTACATCATTACAGAGAAAAAAATAAATGAATTAATAATAGTGCTAAAGTAGTAGAATATTTTGTGGCGACTAGAAATAAAAAAGACCACTGTACTTTAGAATGATTTAAATATTATACTACTACTACAACTTATAATTTGTTTAAAAATTGAAACACCGTATTTTCAATGCGAACAGACTGCTGTCCGATTCAGTTATTTTATTATAACAGTCATAGTTTATTATAAGACATACTGGTGATTTTTAAATCACACTGTTAACTCATTAATAATTTTTTAATATTACATTTAAAAGCGTGACATGATCGTGACTTTCACTGTTACGTGGCTAATGCAGCCTGTAGTAGCGTTACTATTCGTTTATAACTATTTAAATTACAATAATTCTTGAAATATCGCCCATTACTAGTCACCGTTCTAAATGCAATAGTTAAAACTGTTACCTGAAAATTAATGTTTTACCTCATATGTGTGTGTGTAGAGGATGCAATTAATAATATTTATTTAACATATATAAATAATATTTTACTACCTATGTGGTATAAATTATTTGAATTTTTTGACTTACCCTCCTTGTGTTGCGCTAGATATGCTCAATGTAAAAATACTGTTGGTATAACCATCACAGTTGCACGAATCGGTATGTCTTCCCCCATTTCCCGATGCCCAAACAAAAATGGAACCCTTCCCTTTCCTGCCACTAGTGACGCCGTAGATAAAGGCTCTGCGAGCAAGTGGGCCTGGACCATCAACTGTTTTTCCATCATCCTCAGGTCCCCACGAAGCACTGTAGATATCAATGTGCTCGGGGTTGAGTCCTAGAGCTTTTGCTTCGACAGCATCGTTGACAACACCGTCCAACATACGAACGCCTGCAAAAAGAAATATATTGATTTTAAATAAAACACGTAGGGATAGTGCTTCATTCTAAACACATTTTTTCAAATATTTTAATAACCGTTATTCCGATTTGAATGAGATTTTGGGGGACTATATTTTGCTAAGTGGTTTTAACATTTGACTTTCACAAAAATCAAGAAAAAGTACGGGAAGGGTAAAAACTACCCCCTCACCTACATAAATTAATTTTAGTGCAAATTTTTTCCAACACCGCCAACGACAGATTTTCTTTTCGTAAAATAGTCCCTCTAATATTTACTACATTTGTTGTTTCTTGTAAAAAACGCCATGTAGCGTAGTTTTTGAGAAAACATTTTTGGAGAATTTATTTTCTAAAGCTGACCTACAATAGACAAAATAAACCCCAAGGCAAATTAATATAAAATTTATTTTTTAAGCTTTTTATGAAGCTTATTGTCTAATATAATTTGAGGTACTAACATAAAATTCCATAATTTCGCAAACTAGATTATTAGAGCATAATAGATTTTATACGCCTCCATAGCTTGATGTGACAAAAAATGTTTTTTGGAAATCAGCTTTGGAAAATAATTTTTTCCTCAAAAAGTATGCTCGATGGCGTTTTTTTACAATAGACAAAAAATGTAGTAAATACCAGAAGAACCATTATACGAAAAAAAAATCGGTCGTCTGTTGAGTTGGAAAACATCTATACTAATATATAAAATCCTTAAGTGACTGACATACTGATTAATCACGATCCTGCTCAAACCACTCAACGTAAGAAGCTCAATTTTGGCATACAGGTTGATTCTAGGGTGTAGAGGTTCGATAAGAAGGGATTTTTCGAAATTCCAGTTCCAAGAGGGCGAAACCACCCCTCAAATATTACAATATTTTTTATTTAAAAACGGTCAAGTTTCCGAAAAAACCCTTAAACACGTATACTTTATTTTGTTTTTTTACATATTTTAAGATTTTTTAAAAATGTATACAGGGTGTTTCGAAAAATTTGGTCACTGATTAATCACGATCCTGCTTAAAGCGCTTCACGTAAAAAGCTGATTTTTGGTTTCAGGGTGTTTCATAAAATATGACCATAGAGTAATCACGATTCTGCTTAAACTGCTTGACGTAAAAAGCTTATTTTTGGCAAACGGATTTTTCGAAAGTCAAATTCCAACGAGATGAAACTACCCCCCTATAATATCGCCATATTGTTTTTTCTCATGCTGACATAAATGTGAGAAAATTTTATCCAGTTTGTATGTTAATGGAAATTCTTGCTGTGCTTTATCATCACCATTACAAATGACTAATTCGACGCGAACGAAGTCGCTGGTACACGCTAGTTTATATTAAAATTTATGTAGGGGTGGGTGTAGTTTTCACCCTTCCCGTACTTTTTCTTGATTTTTGTGAAAGTCAAATGTTAAAACACTTAGCAAAACATAGACACTCAAAATTTCATTCAAAGCGGAATAACGGTTCTTAAAATATCTGAAAAAATGTGTTTGATGTTTGATGCCTCTAACGGACAAACGAAGCGCTTTAGAGGTAAATTGTGTCCAATAAACCTATTTTGATTACAAAAATACGTAGTAGTTGTATGTCAACGGAATATAGGGACATCACGTATACTTCGTGGTAGAATAATTTTACATAAATAACAAAAATGACAAAAGCAAGTATAACAAATTTGAGTCCAATCGAACGTCAGAAAGTGATTCTAATTCACCTTGCTATATTTGACCCAAAACTCAAGTTAAGACCCATAGCAAGTTAAATAAAAGCTTGTATTAACTCGTAAAAAAATAAATTACACAGCATTTACAAAGCAGTATAAGTTTAAACTCAATCTTTCTATAGCTTAATAGTGATAAAAAACAAATACCCAAATCGTATAAACATTCGGTTCGATTTAAATATGCATGTAATTCCTGTTTGTCCTAAACCAATTACACCAGGATTTAAAATTTGAGATAAACAAAATATCGTTATATAGCCTTTAACGGTTTTAATATAAAGCGTCAAAGCGAAAAAATCATAGCACGAAATAAAAATTTTACTGCCCTGTCACAAATTTTATTTTGAAACAAAAATATATATCTACGCCAGATATACAGACATTTATATTTCACGTTTTAATGGTTTTTAACATCGAATTATACTCATTTATACTCAAGTTATACGAACGAAAAGCATAAATAAGATAGCCCTAGCGATATTGCGTTTATTGCGAAGATCAAAATGAGAGAACACGTACATATGCACATATTTACGCCATGCAGAAAGAAAAAAAAGTTAATTCCGGACCAGGTATAAATTACTTTTATGGACACTGGCCGCTATCCTTTATCCGGAAAAATACCGTGTATAGCTGTTAAGCCGGAATAGTAAAGTGGCCGGCTTGATAACAAATTTCTCGGGAGAATATTTAACTGCCTACGTGATAACAAAAATAAACGATACACAAATTTTCACAATATATATCATTTTATAGCTTTATATTAAATGAAATGTTTTAGCTATTTTTTCATTAAAAACAACGAGACAAACTATAAATTGAACACAGTGTTTCTTTTGATATAATGAGGAAAGTTATTCTTAATTTATTTTTGGTTACTATTTATTGGTCTGACAATATTAGGTATGTGAACAAATTAGTTTTCTAAACGGCTTTTTACATACAGAGTGTTAACTTTTCTAAAAGAAAATCTTTCTCCTTATTTATGTTCTAAATCTTTTTAATCTGAAAACATATGCCTAAGTATGTTGAAATTTTTCGTGTTACGCAGAAAATAGCAAATTTTTAGTATTTTACAGTAAAAGTCGTTTTTACACACTAAAATTGTATATATTACTTGTTAAAATCAATTAAATAAAACACAATTCATACAATTCGGCACAATGCACTAAAACACTTTACTTTTGCACTGGGCGCACGTTTCGCTAACCATGTTAGCATCATTAGTAGATGATACAAGCTCAATACAGTTTTAATCATCTGCTGATACATGGTTAGCGAACCGTGGGTCCACTGCAAAAGTAAAGTTTTTTAATGTATGACTAAATATATTTAATAGATAATTGCGGTATTAAGTCCGGTAAATTAACTTTTACAGTATGAGTGAGATGTTTATGGACGAGGCTAGGAACCAGAGTCAGAAGAACCAGAAGCTTTGCCCAGAACTCTCCCTCTTTCTCTCTCTGCTCGTTTCTTTAGTCATGAGGGTCGTTACCTCTTTGGAATGCCTCTATTCCCCTTTCTATTTTCTTCTTCCACATTTCTCAATCTTCAGCCTGGTAAAACGATACGTGAAGGGGCCAGTCTGTGACTTGTTTGATTTGATCAGACCATCTCATAGACGATCGGCCTCTACTTCTCTTTCCCTGTACTTCTCGCATCACTATAAGTCTGTCTACACTGTCATCTCCTCTTCTAGCCACGTGTCCAAAATACTGCAATACCCAGTTCATGCATAACGATGACAGTCTAGTGGTTACACTTAACTCTTCCAGTATTAACTGATTAGCTCTCCTCGCGGCCCAGAGAATTTTAAGCCCTCTCTTGTAGCACCACATTTCACGTTTCAAAGTCCAGAATTTCGAAACGATTATTGTAAAAGTTAATTGCAGACGAATGACGTACGATATTTGATTAGGTTAGGTTGTAGTTGGTTGATTGCCAAAACTTAGGTTTTTAAGTAACTGAGAATTTTTTAATCCGTTTATGTATGGTTCTGAATATTATTGTATTTACTGGTGGAAATATTGTCAGTACTGACATAAAATTTGAATTTGATGCGGAATGCTTTGGATATATCTATGTAACACAGCTCTTCTAATTTTATTCATGTCAAAGTCTGGGCCGGTCATGCCAATAAGTGGGTCGGTCAGGCGCTGTGCACAATTTTAGGCCATAAGTGAGCGTGCTATGTGCGCAAACTAGTAACCTAACTAGTGCGCGACTCCGAAAATTGGAAACACGAAAAACAATGCTTTTGACGATAAGTTTATAATCTGTATAATCTGTGGTATCAGTAACAGAATCATATTAACAACTGTTTAAATGAATGGGCTTTCTCTATCGTATTTTTTAAATGAAAAAAGATTAGAATTTTCTAATTTTCCTGTAAAGAGAGCTTACATGTATCAGAAGAGTATTTTACACCAATTTTACTAAAACAACATAAAATTAATTTTAAAATTGTTTAAATATTAAACAAGGTGATTAATTAATTTTAAATGACGGCTGAAAAAAGTTATATATTTATACGGAATTCTGGAACGGAATGTTGAAAGCCTCAAAAAAGAATACATAAAATAATACAAATACATTTTTTGAGTATATATGTTGTTTTATGTGCAATACATATTAAAATTAATTTGAAGATGGTGAGAACTGGTGACCAAGCATCACTTAATGTTGTATTAAATAATATTAAAATAGTTTTGCTTCAGAATGGTTACTCTGAGTAGTCCATACACAAAATTATATCAACTTGTAAAACTGACTCATTGGTTCATCAACGTGAGAAGGATGCTCTCTCTCTCTTTCTCTCTCTTCCATATATAAAGGAACGTCAGAAAAGATCAGGCAAATAGCCAAAAAGTATAACATTAAAACTGTCTTCAAATCAGGATCTACTCTAAGAAGCGTCCTAAAACAAACAAGGCCGGCCGGAATCATTAAAATAAAAGAAAGACCATCTACCAGCTACTTTGTAAATGCTGTGAGTCGTCTATTGGAGGGACTAAACGTCCTCTAAATGTACGACTTAGAGGGCACACAAATCACGTACAAAAATGTGAAACAATGAAGTCAGGTATTGTGGACGATGGTTGGACAAAACAGCACAATATAAAGTGGTCGAAAGCTTGGGTTATCTATAGGGACCCCCATTGTAAAAAGTGTAAATTTAAAGAAGCCGTGTTTGTAGCAAGCAATAATAACATTTTTAGCAATCCTCTAGTACCGAAATGCCTACGATAGGACAACCACTGATAA